GTTTTGGTTTGGTTTTTTTTTCCATGCCAAAACAACGATTGCAGCCCTTCCTTCTGTAGAGGCATAAGGGTATTTTATACTGAAGACAGTTTATGATCAGTGCATCAACGCAGTATTATGTAAGTCAAAGTCAGCTTCAAATGAAAAGTTGTAACAGGTTTTAAATATTTTTTATGACATTTAATAATTTTAATTATTTAATATTTTAATATGACATTTAATCACAAAACACTTCAGAGCAATAAATTGTTTGTTGGTACATCTTCATTAAAAAAGGCTGTATGTAATATAGAGAATACAGAAGTGTTCCAACAGTTTTGTATGAAAAAACTTAACAAAAACCTGAGTCACTGGTCTTAAACTGTTATATCGCAGCTTAAAAAGGCATTTGATAAAGTATTTAGGCTAGCCATCTCCCACCGTATCAGCACCTATTTTTCTGTAGTTCACACAAAAGCTCAACTACTTTATCTGAAATTATCACAGCTGTCAACTACTTTTATAACTACAAGAAGCTCGAGCTTAAGTTACTACTAATACATAAGCTCAAGTAAGTTCATGAACTTACCCTTTAGTTCCTTCCATAGGTTCCAATGGAATGGTTTCAATTAAGAGAACTCTTAAAACCAGGCTACATTTTTTTCCATTAGCTTTTTTCCTAAGTAATTCTTAAAGTGGGCATAAACAATGAACTAAACCACCTAATACTCTCATGAGGAAAACAAGGGGAATCACTTAATTTTACAGTTGGAGAAAGCACTTAAAGAAGTTACTATAAATGACTTATGCAATGATACAGGGATAAAGAGTTCACGTAATCCCAGATCATAAGTCCATAAAACAGGAAAGGCACAGCACATCGAACTCTATCACCTATGAAAAAAAAGAACACACAGTGCTAAAAATAGTTGGACACTCTTCACATATAAAAACTCACCTATATTGATAACAATGAAATGGTTCTAACTACATTAATTATGTTGTCTAGCTTATCATTTTACAGCTAAACTAAGGTTGAGAGGAGGATGTTTCATATTTTCATAACACAGTGTGATCAACTATATGAAATATTGTTTTAAATGCCTTACATGTGCATACATGTTTATAACACAATACGAAAGATTTCCAAACATATTCCCTGAGGATTGGTTTTGCATTTGCCTGGACTTTTAATGATCATTTTACATAGCATTAAGGTAGAATTTTTTTTATTTCTTTTTAATCACAATGAAAAGTATGCTTCTAAATTCACAAAAATTGGCTGGGGGCAGGGGGGGCAATAATCAGAAGCACCATGTAATAAATAGAGATATTTTAACACTTGAAAAATGAACCAATTCCAAAATGTAGATTCCCTTTAATCCTATTCTCCATGTTTTTTCAGACACACATTTGCCCTTTCATTAAGTCAATTTAAACATAAATTAAACAAATGTGCAATAAACAAGTTTTCATGAATATATACATTGGGACTTTGCATAGGAACGTCCTCACTTCTAGCTCACTACCCGCTCAGAGCAAAAAATCCTTCAGCTGTATAACACTACCTTGATCCATTCTCTCATCTGCTGCCCAGTTACTTGTCACCACAGCATCTGAAAGTTCAGACACAAATGTTTGCGTGCAATGTCATAAGCTGGATCACAGAGCTAATGTGGATGGGGAAAAAAAAAACCAATTAAAAAAAACCCCACAAAACCAAAACCAAACTAACCAACACCCTAGACAATGTATTTTCAGAAGAGTGTACTTAAATCACATCAGTTACAAAATGCAGTTCATAGCATAGTCAGATGAGAACAAGCAGCAGTGAGAGGAAATCCCTTAAGCTGTCAAAAGCTTTAGCTTCGTGAAACTATTCTCGGGATTCATGGAAAATATTCAAGGCTCTTTAACTGCAGTTCTCTTAATCCCAGTTCATATTTCAACACTAACTCAATGAAGTGCAGCAACACCAGGTAAGATGAGAACAGATATACAAGTATGAAAGTTTATTAAGACCCTGCAGTATGTTTTAGAAATATAATAGTGTCTTTGATTAAAATACCCTGAGGCATAATATTTTTGATAACGACGCTTATGCTAAAAAATAATCACTATAAACCTAACATTGGTAAAATTATGTTTCTGCTGATTCCAGAGTCTATTATCAAAAGTTATTTTATGGCATATCCTTTACAATAACTGGAAAGGTAAAGGGGAGGAGAGGAGAAAACCACCACACATTGCTGTATTAGAACATCATTGCTCCACACTACTGCTTACTGTTATTAACCTATGAGAGCAGTTCTGTCCCAGATAGTAAAAAGTCTCACTACTTCCAAATCAAGCATGTGCTCTAGATAGAGTCTACAGAGGATGACCTTTGTAACCATAGATACAGCATCTCTCTCTCTTAGATAAGGCCACATTGCATAAGCCATCCTAAGCTCTAGGATGGTCAAGTGAAGGAATACCACACAGTTTTAGTTTGACTTCTTTTCCCCATTTGGAACACTCAAGTCACAAGCGCTTTAACTAGTACCCTTGTATTGAGTGCTTGTCTGACATAGCTGACGAGTATCCTGCAAAGAACACAACATCGATCTCTACTGTGCAGAAATCTGCTTAGATACTACAGAAGAAACACACTATCATTAAACAATTTTTGCAGATTTAATGCCTTTCCTGAAGAAGCGCATTTTGCTGTCTGAGCATTATAGGTGAACTACTTAACATTTTCACCACACAGAGTTAAAAAAAGATCCCAGAAAGAAACTGAAAAGGAACTTTAGGTGGAGTAAAGCTTTCGGAAAGATAACCATAATGCCAAATAAATATTTTTGAGGTCGAATGTATTACAACTGAGACTGATCAAAATGATGGCTAACTTCCAACGTCAAAACAAGCAGCTGATAGGAAAAGTTGGTTTAACCCCTGTTCACTGATGATCAGTAAAGAATTTTAAGCATCTCTAATAAAAAGTAACCAAGTAAATTCCACAAAGAGTAGTAGCTTCTCACACGTTTTGATCATCTTACTTTTCTCTTTCTCCAGTAAAACTAACCTTTACAAGACAAGAATGCACTTCTCAAACTTCACTGTGTCCATATCCTTGATTTTAGGTTTTCATTGCTGAGTGCACTATGAATATTTATTTTTCAGAAGATGGTACTACCTTCCAAAGCCAAATTTAATTTAAAAACAGAAAGCAAATGTTAGAAAACCAGTTGCACTGCCTTAGCAGTAAAACACCCTTGGCTTCAGTTTGATTGAAGTGAGTATCCGTTTGGTCCTGAAAACAGGAGAAGCAAAGACTTTCATTACAAAGGCTGAACGCATTATGCAGAAAAAAGTATTGCATTTAAACTTCTGGAAGAAGGAAAGAGTTGAACAATTCTGGATTTTCAATTTTGCACTACTAACTAGAGATGATATTAAATTGCACACTTACAGAAAGACCTTTTTATAACACATGCTGCATCAGATGCATTCAATGTTAAATCTCTGTAACTTGAATAACTTACATTAACTAAAACTTCTCTTTGCCATAACATCAACAAACAGTAGATTCATTGTTCTAATTCCTGCCTCGAACATTATCAAATATCATACAGAATAATTACCTTACTCAATAGAAAAGTCTCTTCAAATCCAAGGCAAAGAAGAAAATTTAAAGAGAAGTAATATTTTAAACTAGTAATGATCAAATATTTTAAAGTATTAGCTTTAACTGTATAGACTTTTTTCTTACTTTAGTAATTACTTTGTATAAAGATTTCCACAAGAGGGTGCTGTTGTCCTATTTTAGAAAATATCACCTATTTTCTGTTAAATTGGTCTAACATTGAGAAGAAAACCTCATTTCATTTCATTCTTAAGATAACGAATAGTGATTTGCAAGGAAGGCCTACTTTCAATTAAGGAGTAAAGTATGTTCACATCCATCTAACTTTCTATTTTTCGGTTTTTTGGTTTGGTTTTTTTTTTTAACAACTGTAAAATTAAGTCCAAAAACTCTCAACTAAAGTTTATGTAACACAATGGATCACTGTATAGTCTTCTGTTTGTGTGTAAAATAAAGTCAGTTTATATTCCATATGGTTATAGAAAAAAAAACCCACATAATTATTGTTAAAACATATAAATCACTTTTTACAGCATAATGTCAAACAGCTGCTTTTGCCTTCATTTGCAAATTCTGACAAAAAAACCCACCAGTTTTGTGATATCAGATTCGAAAAAAATCTTTGTAAGTGAAGTACAGCACGAAGAAACCTTGATATGATACACTACCAATTTACAAACAGTAATAAATAAATAAATAAATAAATCTAATCAAACCTCATGCATCTTTGGTTTGACTGTATAATGTTTATGGAAGTCTTCTATCTACTTACGTCTCTAAAGAGTAATTTTAATACGGCTTCAAATCATAAAATGCTGCGTATCTTTGTACACTGGTCAGTCTCCATCTGTGCTGCTGGTCTTAAAATGTGTTGGGTAAGAGCACTAAAACACTCAACACATCTCTTGCAGACAAAGTCTGTGGGTTTACTTGCACGTTTTAGTCTTTAGGATCAAACTGACCCTCACTTTGTCAGTGTTAATGGAAGCCATAATGTGTTGGTGCTCCAGCTCAGCATGAAAAATTTATATTTAAATAAAAAAACAGCAAAAAAGGTAAACATTTAAAATTGTGTATTTAAGTTTTCATTAAGACTTACTCAACAGTACAGATGGTAAGATGGTATGTAGGAAAGCCTCTTGGGTGCAATACGCAAGTCCCAGCTGGAATGTTTCCAACAGGATGTAAACCATGGTCCTCAAGCTTGCACTTCAAAAACACATATTACTTAGCACACTGCTAACAAATGTCAACACAAAAATACAATGCTATAACGACTTCACTTTACAGAAGTGGAGGGGAAGCTATTTGAACAGTTTTTTAAAACCAAAAATCAGGGCTGAGAGGAGGAAAATCAATACATAGATGCATTAGAAAAATATTTATTCAAAGGAATAAAAGCACTGATCATTACAAATTTGATATATTAAAAATTTAATGCTGTACAAACATACATATTAGTTCTGATATCCATAAGCCTACAGAGACCAAGTCTGAAAACCTATGCTTTCAGGTCTTCTCTGAGGTGTTGCTTGAAGCTTTCAACAATTCTGACGTTTCTTCAATTCTGAAAATAAATTTTGTTTACGCACACTTATTAAAATACAGTAAGAAATAACTGACTTGCCTTTAACTTTCTAACGAACCCAAAATACTAACAAGCAGCATGAAACCTTAAGTTTCCTCTCATCCCCTTTTCCTCTGTAATGGGTTTGTATTTTAAATGCCTAACACATATTAATAAACCTTAAGTATACATAAAGAAAGAAGTAACTTGCACAATAAAATTAAATCACAAAAAAGGCTACAGCTTTTTTCAGGCCGGGTACTTATAGAACAGAAATCTCTTGCTAAAGAAACATTATTCGGGAATGCATTTCTCTTCAAGTGTAATAAAAATATTTCTTACCAAAAAAATTTCATTACAGATCTCAAGACAAGTATCAAACACACCTTAATACAGTTATCACAAGGCTTAGCCTGATAATGGTTTTACTTTTCCTTAAACAATAAGAAACAGAGTTATACTATTGTAATCATTTTTCAGGAAGAAAAGTTGCAAGCACCAGGGAATTTCTATCAGAAAATAAATAATATTCCTATTCCTTGTCAACCAGATTCTAAACACTCTTTAATCTCTAGTTAATAGTATTAAGAATGCTTTCACTTGCTTTTTAGTAACCAAAACAGTGACTCATCCCACAAACACAGAACTCTAAGTGGATTTATTATCCAGTGGAGTCATAAGGAAATGCCACACCTGATGTAGAGACCTGTGAGGTTTGGAACACATATGTACATTCTCTGTATGCCTTAGTCCAGTACAACTCCCTCCTGGGAAATTAATTCCTG